GGCATGTCAGGATTCAATCCCTCAGGATACTCTTTGCGATCAAGAGAACTGCACCTAGCTCCTGTATGCCATGGTTATCTTTGGGAGGAAGCTGTTCAAAACAATTTTTCAGAGCAGTGTGCACTAAGGGAAACTTTCTTCATGAACAGAAGGAACTCAGGGTGGCCATTGGGACATATTCTTCAACAACGGTCTTGGGAAGCATTGTTCAAGAGCAACATGTTTTCATCCAGAACAGTACGAACTGTTGACAGCCCTTGGGGAACATGTTTCATGATCAGTATGATCTAAGGGAGACCCTCAACACACAATATGAAGAAAGGGTAGTCATTGCGCAAGACTCGCCAAGAAAAGCGTGACCTTACAGTGATCCTTGGGGAAAATTCTTCATGATCAGCGCAAGCTAAGGGTAGCCCTCAAAAACATTCTTCATGCGCAGTATGAACAACTCATCAAGAACAGTGTGAAATTGTTTGTGGCCCTTGGCAACATCTTCATGATCAGTATGAACTACTCTGACCTGAGGGTAGCCATTGGAAAAGACTCAAAGACCAGTGTGACCAAATGGTAGCCTTTGGGAAACGTTCTTTGTGATCAGCATGAGCTAAGGTAGCCAGTAAAACATTCTTCATGAACAGCATGATCTTGCCAGTGGGAAGCATTTGAAATAAGGGCTGACCATGAAACATATTCTGGGAAACATCTTCAAGAACCTTCACAGACATTTTTCAAGAACAGTACGATGTCCTCACAATCATGGGAGAACTCTAGATCCCTAGCACCGATCGTGAAACCAGATCCTGCCTGCTGTTTGGCTTTCATCCTTGGAGTTGTAGCCCCTGGGAACAGGTAGGCCGTTTGAAACATGTGCTCCCTGATTTAAGGCAAAATCAGCCTTCCATTGTGCGCAAGAAGCACGACGAGCGTGCCGGCTTCGAAAAGGCCGCCGCCCTGATATATTTGGTGCGTTCGAGTTGTGAAGTATTTTTAGAAAGAAAAGTGATTTGTTGAGGTTTTGGGAGGGCAGGGCTTGACATCATTCAAGGCATCAGCTCTGGGGCCTTTTCATTCAACAGGGAAACGAGCCACTGCAAGGTGGAAACCCTCAATCGGAGTAGTCTTGAAGTTTCGTGAGGCACTTGGTCCTTGAGGGCGAACCAGTTGTTCCGGGTGCTCTGAAAGCGACCGTAGATAACCTTCCCCACTGGGGAGTGTCTTGACAGGGCCCGGGATTTAATTGCTAGCTCCCTCCCAAACCCACACACTTTCTGGATATGACAACTGAACGAGTGGCCCCTCCCCGTTCCCATGGAGTTTTTCGTACGATGACCCTCCCCCGCCTACACGGGACCCTTTCCTGCACAAAGCCCTTCCAATTTGAAGTGAAGTTTGTTATTTTTTTGGGGGAGTTGTCTTGAAGGGACATCCCTTTTTGGTGACCTGTTGGGGGTATCTTTTTTGGATCCACAGGGAAAGGATGATGTTTTGCGGCGAGGCCGCGTAGCTGTGAAGTGAAAGGGTCAACAAACATGTTTGGCACACATGCTGCAAATGTGATCTGGTCACTCACCTATTTGTGTAACAGACCGGATCAACCATTTTGTGAGGCACACTCATGTTGGGTGATGTCCCCCACCCCATGGCTAGCTAAGGAAGATCTGACGACCTTCTTGCCAAGATTGCGGCCTGCACCGATGGCACTAGCAAGAACTCTTGCCGCAGCCTGGCCCGTTTGATCCACATCAATGGCACAAGCCTGCCGCTGGAAATCAGCTTCGTGAGAATCACGGTTCGCCAGCGAAAGCCGAAGGTGCAAACCATGCAGGTTGACTGGCCGATCATCAGGATGAGAACTTGGTGCCGCTACTTATTTGATCATGCCCCGCAAGTCCTTCTGGGTGGGCACACCCTTCAAGAATCAGGATGGCAATCAATGCTGTCCGACTTTTGGGACGTGTGGCGGGAGGTGGAGGGCAGCCATGAGGTTTTTTCTTCAGGGAAGCCCTTGAATTCCGTCATCCCGTTCTTCACCCACGGCGATGAGGGCGCCACGCTGCGGCAGCTGCCGTTCATGGTCCAATCCTGGCAGCCCGTAATCTCATGGCTTGGCCCGGGGTCAACTTCGGTTTCTGGGCTCCCCGACTCAAATGATGAAAATCGCTGACGGCTTTGAGGGGTAAGGGCTAAAGGTCCACCATGTTTTTTGGCGATAGCCTTCGGCCACCTTGGCCACCTCAATCAAGTTTAACATTGAGTTTTTCTTGTTCTGGGTTTCACATATTAGGCGAAATATGTGTTAACTAAGGGAATCATTCTGCAGCCGGCTGCTTTACTGCTGCATTTCCAGCTGCACCTTCAGTGGCTCGCAAACACTGCGAGACCTCAACGAAGCCTGGGTGGACGACATGCTTGACATGTGGGAAAATGGGATTGAGGCAAGGGCTGACAGTTGTAGCTCTGAACCCACCAGAAGTTGGTTTTTCCTCCATTGCATTCTTTGACAAACCTTTGTGCAACACCATCGGTAAATTTTCCCTGAGGTGCAAGATGACCCAGGAACTCCACCAACCAAGGTTCACTTCATCTGGTTGGGGATGAAAGGAGATTGGAAATATATGAGAGCTGTGCTTGAGATCGAATTAGCATCGTTTTCCTGTGAGGCGTTGGCAATCTTTGATATTTTGCGATACGAAAACATTCCCCTTGCCTTGCTCACCTTCGGCCTAGGCATTTGCCTTATCCACAGGATGGAGTTGCTTGAGGACTTGTCACTTATGCAGCAGTGAGGCAGGGTTGGAATTGTGCGTCAAATCAAACAATGGTTTGGTTGTGCGCGGAGTACCAAACCTGATTGATCCATTAAAACAAAAAGTATGCCCAAGGCCAATCGGGTAGTTGGACAGACTACGCAAATGTTCATGCCCCCTGTTTAGGACTGGCACGATCCCCGCCCTGAAGCATCCTGGCGACATCATCGACCAGGCCCTAGCCCTTTCAAGCGTGAGGGGACGGCTTTCTTCAGGTTGCCTGGTGGCAGAGACCCTGCTCGCGCCATGATTGACCTTGCCCACAGTTTTCATATGAAAGGCGTCGGCGTGGACTTCGTTGCAAGCGGCGTGGTGGTTATGTGCGAAAAAGGCTTGTTTGGGAACGCTCGCCTTCCCCAGCAGATGCTCCAGGCCTACACCAGCTTCATGAGCTGGTGCAAGAGCAAGAACTTGTACTCGTCGTGCAAGCCCTGGGATCGCTTGCTGGATTTTGATATGAGCAAGCTTTCGGATTTCCCTGAGAGCATTCGGGGCAAGGGCTATGACACTGGGCTGGGCTGCAAGTGGCTGGCCGACATTCTCTCTTCCCAGGCCCGTACCGCAAAAGCACCACACTTAACATAATTTATGGGGCCAAGGGCTTGTTCACCCTAGAAGAAGGGAGGCCACTTGTTGAGTAAAAAGGGGACCAGCTTGGGTATTTGAAGCGGCGCATCAACCCTATATATTGAAATGGTCAGGGAATGTTGGACCAGTTTGTGGGTTCCAGTCAAGCGTTTCCCAAACTTAGCAAGATCTCGAAAGCTGTTTCAGCTTTGGGCAACCCTGTGTGGTTGGAGGACACCCTTGCTCAAAGTAAAAGAGAGGACATCTGCGTGAGTTTGAGGGCGCAATAGCTGCAATTGTTTTCCACCCCTGGGTTGGAACGAAAATCTGCATTTGTTTATCGACTATCAGAGTTGGAGCTGCCTCCCTGCAGGATTTGGAGGCGGATGCTGAACTGAAAACCTTGCACCGCACTGCAGTCGCCATCAACAGGTTTTTTTCTGTGCTTCATGCTCATGGCGTTGTGCTGCCCAACACGGCGAAGGTGGAGGCTGGCTTTTGTTTGCAGCGCTTTGTGGAAGGCTACTGTATTTTGGCAGCGCAAGCGGCCCGTGGTGGCAAGCGAAGGTTCAAGTTGAGGCCCAAGCTTCATTTAGTGATGGAGGTCCAGCATGAACTTGCGCAACCGTGCAACACATCAGTATCGCCACTCGCAGCGGCGTGCTGGAGCGACGAAGACTTCATCGGGAGACTGAGCAGGCTTTCGAGGTCCTGCCATTCAGGGATGCTGGGGCTAAGCCTCACCATTCGCACGATGCAGAAGGCGCTTGCTGGCTACAAAGTCCAGTTCAGGCGGTTTGAGGCATAGCCTAGCAGGGCTCCTTGAAAGATAACACGGGCACCACCATTTACAAGGCAATGTTCAGGAGTATACTGCGAGGGTCCCTGCTTAGGCAAAGCTGTCCCTGCCCAGATCTGGGCGCCCGGTCTCGCACGCTGCGCCAGCTTCTTGAAAAAGAGCAGCATTGTCATCAGCATCTTGTGTGTGGATGGGCCAAGCGAACTTATCCCCGACAACAACGACTGGGTATTCACCAACCCGCCTAGGTTTCCTCAAGAACGCTGAAATCGCCAAACAACCTGCAGGAACGACAAGACAACAAAAACGCCAAATAATCCCTTGTCAATTGAGGGTCGAGGGGTATTTAAAGGGAAACCACAAGGAAAAACACAAGTTGTTGGGCCCTCTTATTCTGAGAAACGCGCATGTACACATCTACTTGATCCCCTGTTCACCAAAGGCCATGAATTATGTGCAAAGCTAGTCTCTCTGCGTACGGACAGGGAAAGGCAGGCAAGGGTTGAGAGAGGTGACTTCACAACGATCAATTGAGCCCTCAAATTCAGGCCGAAGTCGGCTTGCCTCAAAGGTGATGTTGAAAACCATGATCCAACCGGCACTTGAAAAAAATCAAACTCGCCGACCCCTGTGGCCTGAATTTACTCACCACTATTTGAGTTGATGGTTCTACCCGGCTTCATGCCGTTTGTAGTCGGGCTATATTTAATGCAATCATGTGGGTAGAACGAACAATTAGTAATGATAGATACCCTTTAAACAAACAGGGGAACATCAATCAACAACTTAAACATGGAAGGCTTTGGGCGCTCAAATGCAAATCCCGCCTCCGCCATCTTGTCCAATTTATCCTCATCTTCCTCCAGCCAGTGACTCAGGTCGAAGACAATGAGGTACAAGCCCTGACGAACACACATCCTCACTTCCCATATTTGTTGGCTGCCCTGAACAAAACATACCTAAAAAGGGCTACCCCAATAGGTTCCCCTTTAAAAACCACACCACCAAAGCAACAAATAAATGGCGTAGCAGGTGATGTTTTACAGTCTGTTGATGGACGCAATCCTGCACCTCTTTCGCTAGGGTTTACAAAAACCTCGCGCTCCCCAATTCAACATTGGAAGTTTCAGGGCCTTTGGTTGCAAACACGTTGGAATGAGCGAAATCCTGCACCACCTGATGTATTGAAAAGGCTGCAAATTTACAGGCCAACCGCTTAGCAGGCATGTACTATATACATTAGGCATGTACTCAGAAGCTGCTGAACTGTTCTGGAAGTATACTTGGGATATGTCAAGGACATGCCCAAATCATGTTGTAGACATATATTCCTAAATTATGCAATAACGGTATAGTGGATACATTCTTAACATCTAGAAAAATAGGAAAGCTCGACATTCCATATGGTAAATATATGCTGTTCACAAACTGGGAATGTGCTAGGAATGTGTGTTTTGATAGATAGTTATTTGTTTACAGCAGACCCACTAAGCACCCGCTTGAACACATGAAATGCATGCTGAAAACGTTAGGCATGCGCTGGGCACGAGAAACATGCCAAACCACTCCAAATGCCAGAAAACAATAATAAGTCGTCACAAGCACTTCAACGCCGATCTAAAACCCGAGCAATCAGGCAGCACTTCAAACAAAAACAAAGCCTTGAGAAATCAAACGAACACTTCAAGAACTGCGCCTTGTTGCTCATGAAGAGGTGATGCAGCATATGATACTCCTGTCGGCAGTGGCGGTGGTTTGATCACAGCCAGCTACAGGAAACATCGACAGGAAATTGCAGTTCCAAACTGAAAACTGTGTTGATTTCTTGTAGATTTTCCTGACAATCCACGGGTGCTTGAGCCGAACTAATCAGCGCACGAGTAGACCTTTAATGTCTACCCTTGCGCTGATCGGGTCTTTGGACAAAATTCGCCCCTGGAAAAGGCAAGGAAAACCAAAGAAGCCCTTTACCATCAGCTTTTCCGGGTTCAGGTCAATCCTGCGAAGACAGGCCCGGCGATCTCCGTACTGGACCAGAGATTTCCGGCGGCTCTTGATAGGGCTTCATGTGAAGTGATCTGAGGCAGGGCGACACAGCCAACAAGATGTCGGAGTTGTGTGTCAACTCAACAGGTAAGACAAAGTATATGTCCAGGAACTCGCTGAGTAGATATGCTCATGTAACCTGCTGCGAATCTTCAAATGTTCAAAGTTTACTAACTCTTAATTCGGCTCCAGCCAGCAGACAGCAGACCAAAGATGAAAAGTTGGAAGCTTCGGCAAGTCTCACATCCTCTGTCCTCCTGCCCGGCAAAGTCGAAGGTCTGTAGGGTGATCACGTCTTCCATGCCCCCCTCGGACCTCGACAGCGTGCAGCGCCAAACAAAGTCTTAGCTGTATTTTTGATCCTCCTGCTTTTCTAATTGGAGGCCCTGTTGGCTTTTTGTTGAGGATGGTTTTTCACCTTGCTTTGCCGGGGAAATCCCCGCTTATCCAAAAAGAACCCCGGAGGAACAACATTTTAGCCATGGTTGATAGCTCCGAAGCTGTGGATCATGGTCATGGTTCCCGTAGCCATGGTGTCTACTTCCCTCAGACATCCACCAAGCCCCAAGCCCAAGTAAGCTCTGGAACATGGCAAGGGTTTCCGTGTTGGTTTGTCTTTGGCCGGGGCCCACGCCCAAGGCTTGGAGTCTCTCCTTGACGTTCCAAGGGTCTTGGAAGACCGTTATCCTTTTAAGGGGGACCGGGTCCCTGTCAGAAAGCCATGTTCAGTGGTGGGAGGGTCTCTCCAAATCATGTCCAAATCATGACACACGAGTAGGTCGTGACGAGGGGCATGTGCTTGATGACCAAGTCCACCGGCATCTTGAAGCGCCCTTCAGCCTCCTGGGCACAGTCAGAACTCAAAACTCGCGCAGGGCCGCTACGGCCCGCTTCCACAGGTTCCGTGCAACTTGCTGGGCCAAAAGCCAGTCTTACCCCAGACTCCCAGTGGATGTCCATGGGGAAAAGGGCAGTCGTTGGTTTGGTTCGAAACTTTCAGGGGCCCTTCAGAAACAAAAAGGGGAAACAAGCATCTTTCCACCCACTTGTTTAATCTGAGCCTCCCTATCCCCAGTTGCACTTCCATGAGAAAATCATTTGAGTCACCCCCTGACTAACAGCCGGAAGCTCCCAGCAAACGTCTCTGTAAATGGAACCAAGTCTTCCATTTCAGGGTCCCATCAGGAGCTTCCGTGGAATCGTCTGGAGGGTAAATTCTTTCAAGACCCCCTGAATGTCAGGTTCCGGCTGTCGAGTTGGTAGGGTCAATTCCCAAACTCATCCGCTCAAATGGCCATGGGTCAAAATCCCGGTTACCCCCCAGTGAACATCCCAATCCCCACTAAAATAAAGCCCAAAATGGGTGGTGAATTCACTTACCAACCAAAAATGGGATCTCAAAACGGTTTTGACAACCAAAGCGACTTCCACGCCCCGAAAAATCGAAAACTCGGCACCTCGGTGGCCACGGAACTCCACCCAGCCGGCGCTTCCGCTCGCTCTCCGGGCAGCCGCTCCGGGCGCGCCGGCTCCGGCTCGTCCTCGAGTCAGTCGAGGGCAGTGGCTCTTGGGTCGGCTGGGGACTGCTGCTGTTCGCTTGTGATTGGTTGGGGTTGGCAGGAAGTGGTCGAATCATGTTTAATGTTTGATCAATTCCCTTTTTGCGTGAGCATGGTCGATCTTCCAGGATGTTTGTTGCTTTGAAAGCTCCAAATCAGCTTAGACTGCAAATTGCGGCTATACCAGGGTTATCTGAGGTTTCCTGAAAATGCAAGGTGGGGCCCCACCCCCAAAAAACAAGTTCCCCTTTGCATTCCCTCCAAGCCAAAAACCAAAAACTGGTGCCCTCAAAAACAACACCCCCAACTGTTTGAAAGCTTGGCTCGACAAACACCTCACTTGCATGTCAAATCATGTTCTCACGGGGAACAAACCATTTGGACTAACTTGGACTGAATCCCATTTCCAGAACATAGTGGAAGCTAGCAGGAGGTCCCACAAACAAACAATAACGTGTGCCAGAAACTCAAATGCAACCCCAAGACCTGAAATACAAGGTTTGCCATTTACAACATGGACTATACAAGCACTCAAATGGTGAAAAGGTTGGCTTGTTGGCAATTTAGGCGTCCTTGTCCACAGCAAGTACATAGATGTAGTTCCTCAGGAACAACACGCAAATGTACATCGGATAGAGAAACGAAAGGGGAACCAACCGTTGTTCAAACATCTGCACTTCTGGCACTTCAACTCTGGCTGCGCTGATTTGCATTGATCCGGAAACCACTCTCTCCGCAAACAGGCCAAGGTTCCAAGTACTCTGCCTTACAGGGAAGAACCAGAGCCAACATGGCTTGGACAGGCACATTTTGTCTACCCAAAGGCTCCCGATTCATTTAGGGCCCTCAAGCAGCCAGGTTGAGACCACCAAACATCTCTGGGGTGTCCAATGGAGAGGTCGGGGCTTCCATCGAGTGGCAGACTCAAGAAATTTTAGCTCCACCACACGTAGAGACATCCTTCCAAAAGCAAAAAGGGGGCTGCAAACTCATATTGACTACGGTCCTCGTTTGGTGGACATTGCTGGACATGTCGACAGCAAGCAGCCCCATTTTCGATGGGGTTAAAAGGTATGGGTTGTGGCGTATGCAATGAAAGCTCAGTTACTGAGTGGATGCCGCAGAAACAGAGGCCCAAGCAGCCGAATTGATGCAGAAATGTGTGCTCGGATTCTGCTCGCAAAAAACCACAACAGGTGACCTGGGTGTGTGTCCAATTAATCCTCTGCTCACTGAGCAGAAAAAAAAAGGTCGAAAAACGGGAGCGCGACCCGGTGGGGAACTGGGGGGTCCTGACCAACTCCAGAAGAAAGCCACAGCCACAGGCCACCCGCCGCGCCCCCACCGGCCAGAACCCGCGCCTCGGAGACGGAGCGCCTGAGCTCCTGGGCCACGTGTCTGGCCACCACCGAGTCGAAGTCCGAGGTGGGCAAGCGCCTGCCGCTCGCCTTTTTTCCCCGTCGTGTTTTGTGCGTTGGCGCAGAAGCAGGACCTGTAGGGTTGAAATCCGCCGACATTGCGGAGGCGTGTCGGAGACTTAAGAGAGGATAGGCCCCCCTTGGGGCACGTACTGCGCGGTAATTTGATGACATTCCACTAAACGTAGTCTTCGGGGGGAGCCGGTGTCGCAAAACAGGGGTCCCAGGCTCGAATCCCCCTGCCGGCTCTTTGCTGGTTTGGTTTCCTGCCTCCCTTGTGCCGAAAATCTGGAAAACCCTGTGTCGTTTGACATATTTGTTGCGAAATCGCTGGGAAAAACGTTTCTTGCGGGAAAATACTGGGGAGCTAAGGGGACATGTAAGGAAGTGCAAGGAAATGAGGGGAGGAAATAGGAAGTCGACATGACAGGAAAGCGAGGGGAAATGAAAGGGAAACAAAAGGGGAAATGAAAGGGACATGAAAGGGACGGAAATAAAAACAAGGGGAGTGCAGACGGAATGAAAGGGAAACAAAGGACAAGGAAACCAATCAACATGACGGGAGATGTAGGGAAATGACTGGCAACCAAAGAACGGGACATACATGGAACATCACGCGGACATATATACCGCGAACATGACAGGGGTCGTTGAAAGGAATGGAAGGGACGTGACCAGGACATCATGGGAAACGTGAAAAGGACATGAAGGGGAAATCAAGGAGAAAGCCAGTAGTAAGCAGACAGTTCAGGGTCTGAAGGGGCAGTCCCCAAACATCGAGGCAACTCACGGGGGACATGACGCTGCAATGCAGAGAGAGAGAGAGAGAAAGAGAGAGACAGAGACAGAGCCAGAGCCAGAGTCAGAGAAAGACGGAGAGAGAGAGAGAGACAGAGAGAGAGAGAGAGAGAGACACAGAGAGCGAGAAAGAGAGAGAGAGAGAGAGAGAGAGAGGAAGGAGACAGGGAGAGAGAAAGAGAAAGATAAACAGACAGAGAGAGGAAGGAGACAGGGAGACAGAAAGAGAAAGATAAACAGACAGAGAGAGAGAGAGAGGAAGGAGACAGGGAGACAGAAAGAGAAAGAGAAACAGACAGAGAGAGAGGGAGGTAGAGAGAGAGAGACAAAGAGAGGGAGAGAGAGAAGAGAGAGGCGAGGAGACAAGAGAGGAAGAAGGAGAAAAGGGAGAGGACACTGTCGGCGGACTGAGCCTCTGCGGCTCTAAAGTTTGTACGCTGGTGTGGGTTTTGGACATTTGTGGGCTGATTCTTAAAAAAAGGGGTTTGTAGTCTGGTTGGGTTGATAAATCGGTGATGTTCAAGGTATTTGGATTTTTGTGGACGTGGTCTCGCTGTTTAAGTCTGGCCTGTGCGTGGTTGAAATGCAAACTGTGTCAAAGGAGATCTCACGTTTGCTGGGAAGGATGGGTCTTTTGAAAAACGTCCTTGCCAGTTGGCTTTTGAGGGTTGGTCTTTCCCATGGAACAATCATGGCTCCCCTCCCACCCGCCAACATGATCCCGGATTCAGCAAACAAATAGACGGCGTAAGAGTCCTAAAAGTCTTGTGCAGAACCTATCCTGCCAACTCCCTCCCAAAAGTTGCCCTTTGAGCAACTGTTTTGGTTTGATACCAACTTGGGACCTAGCATAGCGACCCTCTTTCTTCGCGGATCCTCTCAACAAAAACACATCTGGGTGTGTCCCCTTTTTGCATGTTGGACCACCCCAAAATGGTGAATTCCCTTGCGGCTTCCCTTCAAAACCACTAACAACAACACGGGTTCCCTCAAACAACGACACACCCAGATCGTCCTAAAATACACACAGCCCCAAAACCCCGCCCCCGGCCCTGACACACGCAAATCAACCGCGCCTCATGCGTCGCCACTCCCGGGTGGGGGATTGGCTGGTCTCAAAGCGCCGCTCCTCGACACGGAGCCCAAGCCCATACACCCCTTCCTCGCACAAGACACGGAAAATATCCATACTTTCCAGCCCGCCCCCTCCACCCACCTTTACTGTTTGTTTCATGATTCAGCCCGAAGCACTCTCCGAAAAGCAGTGGTTGGTGGGGGCTGGTTCTGACTCTGCTCCATATTTAGTCTACAAACATATACGGAGGGGCCAGATTAATCTTTCCCTGCTTGGCTTGCAACTTGAAAGCAAATGTGTTGATTCCCCTTTGGGCCAAACGAACCCGGTCCGAGCCGCTGTGAAAAACAACATATAATATGTGTATTGCTGCTTGAAAAGTAACAATTGAAGGACAACCAGGATGGCAAGAAGGCAGAACAAGTTGGCTAATTCTGGCAATGATTCATCTTGGGAAAGCAAACAGGGGCAAAAGAAGAGCTGGAAAGGGGGGGAGAATCAAGAGTCCCCATGTGACTAAAGTGGAATTCATGAATGGGTGCTAAATAGGGGATCGACACCTCCCCATCCCCTTTTGGTTTCCCTTTGCGTTGAACAGCTATGGGTGCTCAACCCCAAATCAAACATGAAACCTGAAAGAGGTTCCCTGGAGGAACCTTGTATTCAAGGTGGTCCCTTTCCACGTTCCATGTTTGTTTTTGGGAGGGTAACTGGGATTTACCCTACCCAAGTGACCAAGCGGCCCTAACCAGGAATACAAACCACTTACTACTGCTTGCTTGTCAGGAAGGAATCAACAGATTTGTTGGGAATGAAGCAGAAGAGATCTTCAAGGAAGTCGGTTCCCAGCGAAAATTACCGACCATCGAAGCAAATAGTCCCTAACCAAAGGATTGTGAATTGGGATTGAATGAAACAAATGCACCCGACGCAACCCAATGAGTTCTATCTAAAAAAATAATGCCACCCAATGGCTTTACATTTAAACAACACCAACGCGAAGTCTACCTGGAGCCTTCCGTCCTCCCCCCCCCTCCTCCTCTCCCTCCCCCCCCCCACCTCCCCCCCCCCAGCACCTAGCCCCTCCCCCATCCAACCCCCCCCCACCCCACCCCCCCCCGACCAACCGACTCGCAGGGAGACGCCGTCCCAGGCGCGGTGGTGCACACCGCGGTGGCCACGCCGTGGGTGGAGGCCTCTGAGGCGTCGAAGGCGTCGTTGCAGAGAGCCTTCAACGTGGAGGTCTTGCCTGCGCCGTGGCGTTCTTCTCTTTTTTTGGAGGGGGGGGTCCTGTTGGAAAATCGAAAGTCTGTGCTTGTGAGTGCCCAACTGGTTGTTTCTTCTTTTTTGGGGGGAGGGGGGGGGGGTACCTTTTGTTTGGAGTTGTACCTTTTTGGGTACTTTTTAGGGTGCCTGCTTGTTTCTAGGGTTTTTGGGGTTGGTTTCAAAGGGAAACCAAAAGGACAACGCGTTGGTTTGACACTTTCATTTGGGGAGGGGTTCAAAGAAAAACCAAAAGGAAAACCACGGTATTTTTTCTTTGTTTCGGTGGGGGTCCCTCTTGCAGGGGTCACTGGATTTCCCCCAAATCAATAGTTGATCAATTTATCGTGGTTTCCATAACTGATCCTTTTGGAGGTTATTCAGCTTTTGTTAGAGGATCCCTTATTGGGATTGGCTTTAAAGTGAAACCGCAGGGAAGACTGCCATTTTGGGGGGGTCCAACCTTGAAACAAACACTCCCATGGTTTTGGGTTTTGGGGCGGCAGTTGGCCGAAAAAATCACGTGAATGCATGGGACCTGGTACCCTGGTCCCCTGGTCCCCCTTTGCTGCGCAACCGGTCCCAAAGGCCCGCACAACCTATTGGGGCTGTTTGACTCCAAGCAAAGCATATCTCGGTTGCTTTCTGCTCCCCTGCTACAAGTTTAACTTTTGGCGGTTTAATTGAACACCCATCAGTTGGCAAAAAGTTAAAGTCCTAACATCCAAGCAACATGCACCAAAGCATATCGTTGGCTTCCAAGTGAAGAAGCTACAAGTGAAGAAGCGGTTTGCCTACCACTTGTATCGGGAACCCCACCAAGATGGCCTTTACTTTCTTTTTTTTGAGCAACCAGAAGCCAACTCTGCAATCTGCCGGGGAGAAAGTTGCTCTACTCAACCCAGAGAGGGTGCCCAGCAAAACAAGAGCCCTCGAGAGTCCAAGTATAATTCATGTTTGCGGATTTGGACTATGTGTACGTACTTGACAAATTCCCTTCAACCAAGCCCAAAGCCGAATTTTGGAACACTTGGACCTTGAAATCACGGTTTCAATTGCAGAGACAAAATAGGTATCTCGAGTACGTAGGGAAAGTGCTGCAAATGGTACTCTTCGATCCCTTCTCTTGCTTCTCTCTTTTTCAGACTGTGTGGGGGTGTCTCTTTTTGATTGCAGAGTCCTTTCGGTCTCCATCTGGTTTCCCCTCAACCACTTCGTAAAAGCAAGGCCTTTAAGCTCTGTCCAACTAGTGGATCGCCTCTGTTGTTATAGTTCTTGGAGGGGGTTCGAACTATATTACAAACATCATTATCCCAAGACCATGACATACTTTGGTGCAATAGTTCCAACCAACAAACACATTCTGATGGCCCTGAACTGAAGCAAGCATCACTTTGCCATATCCGATCGAATGGCACACCGCGCCTGCTCGGCCACAGCCCACAAACATCACCTTCAGCGTCCTGCCAAACCAGCTGTGGCATGCAAAGGCGGGATCCTCGCAAACCTCCCGTCGACCATGGGAGGGTGTCAAGAACGACAAGCAGCCCATTCGGACCGTCCATGGAACCCACCAAAGAACATATCCGTGGACAATTGCCTGTCAGCCGATCAAGTTCCATGCGGATGGAACCTTTTTCTCACTAGGTTGATCCTCCGTTCTGCTCCCCCCGTCGTTTTTTGGGAAAACACAGCAGGTGGTCCGAAAAGCAGGGTGGGGCAGTGGACATGGGAGGTAGAAAGTAGATGTTTCTTGTTTTCTCCCATCTGGGGTTTGGAGTCAGTCTAGCGGACTGTCTTCGTTGCTTCCATTTTATCCAGAGGGAGAATATATAGTTGGCACTGTCAGTAGTTGACTGAGCCAAACTAAACTGGCGCACCCCTAAGATGGTTGGTTTCCCTTTCTTAGTGGATCCTAGTTGCCAATTGTAAGTAACCAGCCATATTCCTTTGGTTTTGAAGGTGGTGGTTCGGTGGTGGATTGAATCACTTTAGGGTTCCTCAGATTGGTAATCGCCTCCGGCTTTCTCCATGGTTGGTTGATATTATAATATTCCCCCTAAGTTCAAAAGCTGAATTTCGGCCTGGCTAGGAACATCGTATCGTCTTCACGGAGTATGTTGGGATCGTCCAAACTGATCCTGAAGGAGCGTAGTGACCCAGAACCCGCGGCCAACTTGGTGTTCGTTGTGGCGCTGGAAAAGCGGGGGCACCTTTGCTAGCAGTTCCAACTTTTACCCCGAGGCTCCCGATTGATTTAGGGCCTTCAAACAACCAGGTTTTGAGACCCCGAACTACCTCTGGCGTGTCTACTGGAGGGGCCGGGTCTTCCATTGAAAGCCCCAGGAGCCCAGGAGCCTGTGGGTAGCCAAAATAAAGTTCCCTTCAAAAACTCAACGATGCCCGTCTTGTGATGTGTGTTGCTCCATAGATTAGCGACCTTGGTAGGGCGATCCTTGTGGTATGGATGGTGCATTCAGACTTTCGGGATTGACATTCGCTCAGAAACGATAGTCTGAACAACGACCAAGTCTAACAACACCACAGGACAAGGGCGGCCAAACCAAAAAGGGAACCTGTGCTTGAGTTCAGCAGATAGATATGAAGCACCCCCTGTTGAGTATTACTCCAGGGCGCTCTCGCGACCAACGAATCCCTCATATCGATCCCTTACAGCTAAGCTGTCAATACAATGGTCTTCCAAAAAGTAGCAAGTCCAGGAACCCAGGGAGTGAGTGGTATAAAAAGGCTACAGTTTGGAAAAGGCCAACACCTTGAGGTACGTCGCCTTCTTGAGGTTAACAGTTCCCGGGGGGCTCGAGCCACTTCTGCGGGTCCAGAAGCCATGGACTTCAGAGGCTGAGCTGGTGGGAGATGGTATGAAGCCCTCTGAGTCTGAGAAGCCTGTGGAAGGGGAGCAAAGATTCAAAGTTTAGCAGTTGGATTTCCCCACTAAACCACAATAAGCAAAAATGTAGCATGTTTCACAGCAATGCTGATATGCCTGTGTTTTTTTCCTTTTACATACAAGATAAAATCCGGGAACTCGGGTTCAAACTCTTGGCGTGGTTGTGTGATAGGTGCGGGAAACAACAAAGCCACCCTCGACAATGGAGTGAGTACCAATTGCGCGCGCGTTGCCGGGACCTTCCAAAGAGAACGTAACTTCCGTACTAAAAGGGGAACCATCCTCTGAATATGTACGTTCCAGATTCAATGGCCGCAAAGCCCATGGGAAGAACCACGCCTTCTCAAAAAAGGATTTTTGAAAGGAAAACCCCTCCCAAACAAAAACAGCCAGACAAGGAAGGCAACCCACTCCACCCACTGGGGTCTAAGTCGCCCAAACCGGAAAGCCCCAATTTGCTTAAGCCCCCTTAAAACCAAATACCCAGCGGCGAACCCGATTCCCTTTAACACCGAGGAAGAAACAAATTCTTAACCAAAGCGAAGAAAACACGGATCGCCCCCGCAGTCTTGAACCCCCCTCCCCCCGAAACGCCTGGGCTGTGCTTTGCCCTTCTGCAAGGCCTCGCGGAACTTCCGCTGGGCCCGCTCCCCTGGCGCACGGAACGGCTCTTCCCAAAAAGTCGCGAAAGTCCATGACATCAGGGAGCGTGTGGTGACTTCATTCCAAGCCCATGTGTGTGTGTGTTGGTCGGAAACTATTGGGTTCATATTTTGGCCCCTTCGCTTCGGTCTGAGGGCTGATTGCCCATGAGAATGAGACACCCCATGTCTAGCACCGCTTCGAAACATTCCAATGGTTGAATCCCTATCCTCTTTCACCCATTCTCTTCAGAAAGACAGCCCTTTGGGCAGACATTGGCCCATCTATCGAGAAGGAACACCCCAAGATAATCGTGAAGGTACGGACTAGCGTGGTGCTGAAACACACCCAAAAAATAAAAACAAGACGGGGCGTTTCCCTTTGAAGCTTGGGCAACGTCAATCCTAAACCTTTCGCTTACGCATTGTCTAACATCGTTTTGGCAGAGGGCAAGAATTCTGAAGGGTACCAAGCTGACCGAGTTGGAGTCCGACAGACCTTACGCTTGAGGGGCCTTTCTTTTGCGGAAGCTGCCCGTCCAACGGTACCTGGGTTTGGCTTCAAATAAAATATCGAACTCCTGCGTTCGCTGGTCTTGGGTTGCCTCTTCACACAACCACAACAGCTTACCAACTCCTGAAACAAACCCCCAACCTTTCGCCCCAGCCCTTCTTGTTGGGGAAATTGCTTTCGCACCCTCCAATCTTTTGGGATAATCAAAGGCTGGCCCCGCAACTGTACATACCGGTTCTTGTCAGGACAGCAAAGCGTGGAGTCGCGGAGCTCGGACGGCTCAACTCGGCCACGTCAAAGCTCTTCAAAGCCTTCACCTTTGCTAGTTTCTACCAAGGTGGTTGAGGTTTGACAGGATTTACAACGGATTCGTGGCTGGACAAACTCCTGTACCAGTTTGTTGGTGGTCTGCTCATATTTCATCCATCCCAACTGGTGCAAGATTCCTCCATCCACAGCAAACGATTTCACTAGACTGCCTGGGGCCAAAATGGCCAGCTGCTCGTTTGGCGAGTTGACTTCTTGCTGGCATGGGAATTGGAGTCAAGTCAGAACGCACAACTCTGGCCGCACTTCCTTCCGTCTTTCCAGGGCGTTTCTTGTACGAACATCGATCAACTACACTCAGGGAACCTCAAGAGAACAATGGATCAAAAGAGTGGTTGGGATCTGTTGATCCTCCATGGCTGGGCCAGCCCCTGGTTCAAACGTCACCTGGTCAAAACATTCTGGTCCCCGTGGCCGCTTTGCACAAAGATTGGTGCCATGTTTGGGACTGATTTGAAGGGAAGCCAAAATGAATCCATTTTGCCTGTTTGTCTTTTTTGGTTTAAGGCAAACCCACACCAACCTCAGCACAGAGGCGGAAGCTGGACATCGGCCGGCTGGCGCTCAAAGTCCAGAGGTTTTCTTTGCCCTAGGCATCAGACAGCACACTGCCATTTGAAGAGTTTGGATTGAAAGGGTGTGGACCTCAAAAGCCCTCTTTGAAGGACCTTTTGAGCTCCCAAGATTCTTAGCGCGCTACAGTGATCTTCCCCAGGATGTTGGGGAGTGAGTATCTAACCGGACAAAAGAACGCAGGCTGTTGCACGATGTTTCTGTCTTGCATACGGGGACGGATTAATTAACCCTTCGATGCGTTGCAGTGTCCCATTTTGAGGGATCCTCCTTGGCTTTTGGGTGCTTCTCAACATACCGTCCCGTAATCCCATTTTTTGGGGCTTGGTTTCAGGGAACAGGGGAACCCGCTATTTCATTTGGTGGTGGCGTTCCCTCGTGTTATATGACTGCCAATCTGTGAAGAGGGGGTTCCGGAAAGGGAGAAGCGGAGAACGGCGGCCTCTTGCGAGGATCTCGTGGGGGAAGCTGGCAGCCTCTGAACGCCCGCTGGAGACACGCCTGGCGAATCGAGTCGAAGGGACCCTTATAAGGGCGCGTTCGGAACCCCTTTTTGACTTTTTCTGAAAGGCGTCCTTTCCAAGAAAAAGACCCCCAGTTTAAGAAAGGGGCAGGAGCCAAAGTGAAACCCATGCACTTGGTTCTTTTAAGGTGGCATTAAAGGTTTATAAAGGCCGCAGTATAATAACCACAAGGCCACGCAGTAGAAGCGCCTACTACCATTGCCTATGGCGGTTTCGGGCGCTGCTCAAGTGGTGAACGCCCCAAATCCCGGTAGTGTGTCCGTTGTCTGTGTGTGTGCTGTTTGTGGAAATTCCTTCAAATGACTTATTGCGCTGTTGTTGTCTTTGTGTTGTTCTGTTTCGTTGCATGCTAAGGGAAACAACCCATGATTGGCGTACTGTGCGGGTTTGGGCCGCTTTGTTGCTGATTGTTGTTTTTTGCGGAAGTCCCAAAAGGAAACAACCACGGGATGCTCACGTTTCCAGAACCCGATTCGCTTGTTCAAGTTTCCAGAAGGAAGACGTAGTGAAGCTGTGCTTTTTGTGTTCCACATCCAATCAATAAGTTCAGGTGATATCCCCAACAGCCTGCGGTGCTCTTTTTCTTTTTAGTGTTCGCACCACCCCGCAGCCCTCGTAGAACCTCGTGGAACCTCGGTGGAACCCTAGTGGAACCTTACCTCAGGGCCGCCCCGGACCACCCCGGAGCCTATCTGGGCTAAGACCCCAAGGCTTTCAGCTGTTGGGGAATAAAATGTACCTTCCCTTGGGAACATCATGTTTTCCAGTCACAATGAACAGAGCATGGTTCAAATTCACAACACGCTGCACAACCTAGGATTTCCAAGCTTCCATTTGCCTAAGTCCCCTGGGGAAAAAAACAAAAAACAAAAACAACTCCAGTGGTGATAGATGTCCTTTAGAACCAACTGGGGAAAATAAATTACATGTTCTTAAGCAAAGCAAGGACAACACCATTTGATCCAGGGGAATGATCCCGGGCTTTGGGAATGACCCACATGTTAAGGAAACCATTTCATGTTTTTGGGTGGGGTCAGAATGGACCTAATCCCAAGGAAAACACACAAAATGACATCATTCTGCACCCCCCCAATCCCTGGTGATCTAGTCTACCCTCCCCCAGACTAACATGGAAGCTCCAGGACCTGTTTGGAAGACTTGGTTCCATTTACCCAGGCCTGGGAGCTTCCATGTTAGCTTGAGGGAATGTATGGGGGTTAGCCCACCTCAAATCTATTTGGGTCAGTCCGACTCATTCCTGGGCTGCCCTCAGATCCCCTAAAAGTTTAACCCACTGAAGCAAAAAAGCTAAGGAACTGAATGGCTGGGAGCCGAGAGCCAAGATTCCAACCGACCGATCGGCTCGGCCTGCCATGGAGCCCCAGGCTGAGCCCTGAGCTCGAGGGCGACTCCGCCACAGTCGCAGCGCCCGCCGGCGCGCGCCTGCGATCCGGAGAACAGCTGAAACCGTCGGCGGCGTCGCTGGCCGCTGGGGAGAGAAAAGCCAACCTAGAGTCTCCATGACCCTTAAAAAATGGGCCTATGACCCCTGATTAAACTTATTTTTGGGTAATGACACCATTTTTTAAGGGTCATGGAGACTCCAGGAAGAAGTGGCTTTCCTTTTGGTTTCCCTATCAAAAAAGCCAACCAACTTGGTTGCTGCGATGACCCCTCTGCAACAAGCTGTTCACTTTTTGCGGAGTCCAACTCGGAAGATCCGAGCGGTTTCAAACTGAAAGTTGAAGTCCAAAGATCCGTTGCCAAATTGCACAAATACCACCCCCCTAGCGGTCATCAAGCTGTGGACAAGGGAGACACCCGTTGGGAGTTTCTCTAGCCGGACCCCTTTTACCATTCAAAGGGGATACCCAAAGGAAACTGTTTCACCCAATTGGTGTCCTGTTTGGAAAATAAATGGCCCTGGTAGATGATTGAACCACCAGGTAAACCAGGGCCTCCTATTTTTGCTAGCAGAGCAAACAAAAAGGACACCTATGGATTCGCCAAATTCAACACCCCCCCCCCCCCCACTCGGACGCAGCCGGGCGGACGCGCACGCGACGCACGCGACGCACGCGACGCGCGCCTGGGGACCAGCGGGAAGTGGCTCACGCCGCTGGGCGGCTTCCGCGGCTTGGGGCTCCCCGAGCCCCGGAAGTCGATGGCCGGCAGCTCCTCTGCGCGTTCGCGTCGTCGCGCGCGAAGAATCAGAGGGGAAGCCTAGGAGTTGTTGCGGCGTCGTTGTGGGCGGTCGTCCGTCTTCCTTGTTGTTTTGTTCTTCTGATGTGGTGGCGATGTGCTTTTTTTTGCGACCTGAGTTGAGGTATTCGCTGTAGGGGAGTCTTCAGTTAGTGGCCCACTTTGCAGCCTTCTGTTTTCGGGTATGTAGCTTCCTTTGGGCGGGGTCTTGGATACAAAACTCGGGGCTCCATGAATTTGCCCCTTGCACCTCACCCCAAAAGGAGACTCACATAAAATCATGCCCCAAAAGTGATGACCCCTTTGGGCTGGCCGCATTTTGCAGAACCTCCAAAAAAACCCAAAGTCCTCCTGACTTAGGGATTCTTTAAATGGCTCTTTGGTGTCCCTTGGCATTGCCTCCAAACCCATCTCTTGGGGTATTTCATGGGTTTGTCTCCAAGAGGCGGCCCTTGCATCTGCCCTTCGTTCCAGTTTCCATGTGATCAGCGATCTGCCCCGCATGCAAATCTTGTGCTCTGGTTCCAAGATAACGGGTTTCCAACTCAAAAGCTCACAAAGATGGTGGGGTTTCTCGGTCCCCTCAGCTTGAGTCTTAGGGAGCCCCCCTCATGAAGGACAAGCCCTTCTCATGTGAGTGGCTTGAGATTGAGGCGGGCTTTGTTTTTCAGGAACCAAAGTCACATCGTTCCCATCGATGCCGAGACCCTCGCTCGAACCCCAAATGCAACAGCCAGCATGTCGCAAGTCGCATTTGTGTCTGTGTGTGTGCCAGCTTTACCTCCAGGAGGCATCCCATGTTTCCAGGGTTTGTTGGAAAGCGTGCTTTCTGGAGAAGCACTTGGGTTCTGTCTTTTCAGCACAAATTTCTAGCTTTCTCTCAGCTCTGAGATTCAGGTGCTCAACACTCCAGGTAGCAATTCTCGAGCCGAAGTTGGGAAGTGGGTGTTTCTGCAAAATTGGAGACCCCTTCTGGTTGGCTTCCCCTCAAGACTGCGGGGCACAAATTCTGCTTGGTTGACCAGTGACAAAAGTGTCTAACCTTTGCCCTGCACTACAGTGAAGAAATCGGCCACCAAAGCAGCTCTAACTTAGTTATACGGTATACGTTTGCTCATCATCAGGCAAGTGAATCAGGAAGCTTAACTTGGCCAGACTTAGACCCCCAAACAGATCATGGGAAACTGAAGGAAACCCGAAAGTCCAACAAGCAGAAGGGCAAACACCTTCGTCTGGCAATGCTTCAGAGTGCATAGAGTGCATTCAACAAAGCAGCCTAGGAACTCCACCGTCGCAAGTTGCTCTCGAGGGTGTAAACATCAATGTGCAAATGACAAAACTCCCCAAACCCGTAGCTATAGAAAAAGGCAGCACGTGTCTTTTGCTTTGGCACAGTTTTTGGCTTTTGGTGGGTTAAGTGGAAACCCAACCACTAAATCACCTGAAAGGTCCCAAAAACGAAGGACCCAGAGCGATGGCTGGGAGCCAGGCAGAGAACCTCTGCAAAGAAAGGGGGAAACTTGCTGGTGCTCAGCAGTGAATGAGAATTGGAAGACCCCGACAAAACCATCCAACTGGTGGCTTCCTCGCAGCGAACCCCTGGGTTCAATTCATTTCTCACTCCCTACCTATCGCACCAGCAAGAAAAGGTCACAAAGGAGGTCTGGGCTGTCGATCTGAGAAGTCTCGATTCGCTAAGAACGTTGTCGACCCCGCTCCGTCACCGGGGAGGAGGACGGGCTTCGCGAACCTGCGGCGCAGTGACCACTTACCCTCTTTACCTTGGCTTAAACAGAAACAACAATAGGAACAACAACATGATGCCATGCCCACCCAACTTTAAGACACACCCGTATACAGTGCCCTTGTTCATGTCCGTATTTCTCACCAACACCTTCAACCCAGTTACCCGGACTGCGCCAGAACTCCAGAAACCGCAACAGCAGTTCAGCTTGTTCGCTACCTCTACTCAATTTTCCGCACAAGTTGAAAACTTGGAATTTTCAGCTCGAACCGTTTTGGCGGTTTTTTCCTCTGCGCCGGCAACCAAAGGACCGGGTCCACAGCTCTGTCAAAGCCCCAGCGCAAGTGCCAGAAACGGTGTAAAGATGGGTTGCTTGTCCCAAACTTGTGTTGCTGCAGCCCTCTAAAAATGAGAAGTGAACACTTATGCGTTCACACATAAACAGACTACAAAGCGTGAATCAAGAAAACACTTCCTGAGTTGATTGGCAAAAAGCCCAAGCTTAATATTCGCTCCTAAAATTGTCCTCCAAAACTCGGGGCATGAAGAACAACCGAGGGTACCTGAGGGTGCCTGGAAATTCCAACAAACCTCTTCTTCCTCCGGGCCAAGGACGAGTTTGGGCAAGTGGGTAACGCCTTGTTCATGCTGATTGATGCTGACCCCTAATCCATGTAGCCACATTCCGTCATTCCCAACATGGAAGTTCGGAAGCCCCGGTGTAGGTCACTCTACCCTGAAGGGACGCAACAAAATGATGGGCTTCCTCTCAGTTTCCCTGGCAACCAGAAGCTGTTTCACGGCTACCCTCCAACAACAACCACACCCACACCGGTGTGAACCGACGAAACGCCACCGACACGGCGAGCGGGCCGGCCAAAAAAAAAAAGCGGATTGCCGGTGCCTGATACGCCCGAGACGACCAAGCTATTGTTCACATGCAGCCGGCTGGAGGCGTCATCGCTGCGCAGCCTGGCATCGGACTCCGGTGCCATGCCGTAAATCTACCCCTGGTGTCTGTATTTCTTGGAGGGTACCCGCGTTTTGTTTTGTGGTTTGAAAGGGAAACCAAAAGGAATATCACCATTTTTGGGGGTCTCAAAAAAGATACACCCATATATATTGCAGACTTCTTGGTGGGCACAAACGCCTGCAGCGCTAGGGTCCTCCACAGTACAAGTCCTTACAAGTGCCTTTCGATCAACTCCCACATGCCACATGCTTAGATTCTGGTCACTTGATCGTCGGGTGACCCATTGGCTTCGAACAAATGGGTTTCCTTTAGTCCGGTGCTTCAGAACCGTCCTGAAATAGGAACGTGGCACAGGTCTGGCGAGAAAGCGGTCTCCGTGGCCCACCAACTGAACCGCTGAAACTTCAACCAGTCCTTTGCTTTACTTTCTCCGATCGAGCGGATGGCGCAAAAAAAGCCCAAACCGTTTACTTGCCACTAACATGGTCCAGCCCCACAAAGTGACTCCGGAACTCGTGAAGCCAGTGCCCAAGTTGAGAAAGTCGGTTTACAGACCCGGAGCCCAGGTGAAAGGAACCGATGAATTCTTATTCCATGTGGCTTGGTATGAATAGTTTCCCACAAAGCAGTCTAATGAGGCCCTTATTCCATTCTATCCGATTCTGTTCTAAGCAACCCCTCCCCATTCTACTCTTCTATGGGTGTGTGCCAACATTGGCTCTCCGCCTTTTGGATTCCCTTTCAGCTTGCAGGTTCTCAGGGAATGAGAATTGGAACCCCAATCAACCGTCCAGCTGGTGGTTTCCTTCATTCGGGGACCCCCTGCCCACTTCATTCCCAACACCCAGACAACGACAAAAGGGATTCGCCGCGAGCCAGTCTTCAACTTTTTGACTATAGCCATCTCGGTCCTTCCCCCTGCGTTTGAGTCTATCCAAAGGTGCAAAAGTGGTTGACCCCGGCCACGTCTCGCCACGTCTCGCCACGTCTCTCTTTCCCTCTCTTCGCCTGCCGCGGCTGCTGCTCGGGCTGGCGCCCAAAGTGCGGCTCCGCAGCATCCCAAGCCGCCCGCGCCGACATCGGACACCGCGCGCACCGCGGGTGCGCGCGGCGAAAAAAAGCACGAGAAAACGACCACGCGGGTTTCGGCGGCGAGAGTCCCAGCAAAGCGGTAAACCGACTTTGCGCAAAGGGCGGATGGGGTGTGAAAGTGGCTGAAGTGAAACCCGGATCTAAGAAGTGGCTTGATGACTGAACTGTTGCTTTGAGGATGCTAAGTGCTAAGGTGTTGGCTGAAGGTCGTAAAGTCGCTGTACTCGGACCGGTCGGACCGGCAATTCCAAAATGAAGTCCTCAAAGATTGCTACCGGGAACCCGCGAGCGCTTGGTGTGTGTGTGTAAGTTGGTTGGCGGAGGAAACACATTTCCAAGAGGGGCGGATACGTGGAACTTACAAACAAGAGGAGAGTTCGGGGTTCCCACGGCCGGCTGCACATTGCTTAGTCCAAGCAATGCTCCAACCTTGTTGACAGTTCAATGGACAACTCAAATCTGCAAGACTAACACGTAAGTAACAAATGACTTGAAAGTATGCAAACAAATCCGGATTTCCCGGATCCGATCCAATCCGTCGGCTGAGAACCGAGAGTCTGAGAGAGGTCCGACGGTCGTGGCGACCGGTTTCCACTTGCCAACCGGCCTTTACATAGGTGTCCTTTTAGGGGAAATAGATGGGTTGCCCTGGTAGATGAGGAACAACCAGCAGGAAACCAGGAATCGCCAAACCTATCTTTCGAGCAACACAAGCAAAAAGGACACCTATTGAGACACGGGGGGGTCCTTGTTGAATGGCCTTTCACTCCATTCCCAACCGTTTGCAAGGCTACAAACCATGTGGGTTTGTCTCTAATCTCCAAATAAGGGAACCTGAATGCACCCATGAACCCTAGGGTATTGGATTTTATTTGCTGCTACTGGCCACAATCATGTGAAAGCAGGTCTTGAAAGGGTTTTTTAATGGTGCACCATGGCCATGGGCTCATGGGCCCATTCAATCTGCCTTTCAGGTTGCCCCAAGCATCCAGGTGAGCTCGTTATCGACCCAGAAATCGGAGCGACGGCGACTTGCGCATTGCCTTTGTTGTTTCTTCAGTATTCCCCTGGTTCTCGGCCTAAGTTATATTTAATTATATTTTGTTTGCCAGGAAAACAACATTGTTTGGTAGGGTCATGGAAATCCAGCGCTTTGATTTCAAAACCCCACATTTCCAGGAGGGGCGAGTCGTGTCAGAACCTACAAACACCGCTCCGGGGTTCCCATCAATGTTGTGGGAAATCACCTGAAATACCCACACGTCGTCATTCCCAATGGGATTCCGTCATAGAAAGTGGCAGCCCAAAGGCAACCCAAAAAGAAGTGCCGGGGGTTTATGAATTGAGGGCTCTTCTGCAGCAAATTCCAACTGCTTTTTCCTATATCCAAAATCCCAAGCTTGGCTCTTCACACCCATTCCCAAGCCATGGATCTCTTGCCGAAAACGCCACGCTTTTGGAACCACTTCTCCTTTGGAGAGCGAGCGTGACCGCCCCCACGAACTCATCTCAATCGCCGTTCGGCGGGCCGGGGATGTGGACTTGAGGCTCAAGATGAGTGTGGTCGCGATTGTTTGTTGGTATCTGACTTCAATTTGCTCGTTAATTTGTCAATGGCTCGCATGCTTCTTGTTGACCCTTGACCAATGCACCAGCAACACGTTGATGAGGCGCGTTTCTCGAAGAAAGTGGACATCCCCACTACGCAGGGACCGCCCAATGACTGAGCTCCTATTCGAATTCATTCATTATCCGAAGTCGAAGTCCGCCCACTTTGCCAAGCAATCGGATTCTCCGACGGGCTTGGCTCCTCTTTCGCGCGGGTTGCTTCGCGAACCAACTTCGTTTCAGGGGTTCCTCACAGGTACCATCCTTCTGTCTCACTTGAGCGGGCTGGCAAACAAAAACATGGGAAGCAAGCTGTGGCTAGTCTAGCTAGTTTCAGGGGAACATGCATACAAACCATTTGTTGTTCATACGATCCACTCTGCACGATCATGCTTCTCCGGTTTAAATACGATATGCACTCATTGAAACAAGACCTTCACATCTGAAAGTGTTGACCTCTTGAGTGAGCCCTCTGCAATTCATCCAGCATTCCAGAACCATCCAGGGTTCCAAGGAAGACTCAAACCCAGCAGTTCTCCTTTTGGGGTAATGAAACAGCCCTGGGTGTAAGTCTACCTTGCGGTAATCCAAAAATGGAACCCTGGAACCATCCACATTGATGTTGTCACACATTGACCCACACAAACATCAGTGGTTGAAGGTATTGCACAGCAATGCACAGATTCGAGGTCTACGACGTGTTCATTTCAAATCCGGTTTGGTCATTTTCGATTGGATCCCAATGGACAACAACATCGCATGGACGTGGGGGAACAAACAAAACTAGGAATCTGAACAAAAGGACAAGGCACAAGGCCAGCTAGGTACTGAAATTCAAAACATTCCCAAAGCCTGCTTCGCTTCTCTTCCAAAGCGCCTGGTTTCTGAGCAACTGATGGACGGGGACACAAGCACACACACACACACCCACGCACGTCCACGCAGGCACGCAGGCACGTACGAACACGCACACACGCACGCCTCAAGTAAGGAACATTCATCCAGGCGCCAGAGCGGTTTTTCTTCCATATCGACTCCGTGAGCTCATTCAGATTTGAGCAGACGTGTACAAAAAGGCACCCCAGTGTTTCCAGCCACTAACCTATGTCTTCAATTGCCCTTCTGCTGTGGTGCAAAGAACTGTGACCCCGACCTGAGCTTGTGGCCCCTGTCGTTTGGTTGGTTTACTTGCAATATGAATTGGCACCAACAGTAATATCGACCCCACATTGGTAAACCCTTCCTGGGAGTAGGAGTTGTTCCCTCCAAAAGTGATGAAGCTTCAGAGGACACCCCCCATGAATAAACCAGGAAAATGGAAATTCGGGGTTACTATTCCTCCGAACGTTGGCCCCACTCGCCGATTTCGTCCATCCTAGTTTGGGCCCCAGGTCTGCGCAAACCCCCGCTTGATGGCTACCCCATTCGGGGCCGAACGTCGCAAGACCGACCACTCCGGCAAGAATGAAAACCGATGTGTTGCGTGCTTTCAATATTATCATAACAAGGGAAACAACGAGGATTGGATTGCTGGGAACTTTAAATTTTAAACCAAAAAAGTCATACTCGCAGGATTATATCGTGTGCAAGTATTTAGGACCAGTATGACTCCCGCACGAGCTTCTTTTGAAGTGACTATGAAGCCCAAAGACAAATTGCTCTTTAAAACAAGTGTTTGTTGGCTGTTCCCAATCCTTTTGGAGCGGGAGGTTGAATTAGGTTGCTCCCGGGCAAGCTGTGATCGTCAGACGCTGAACATGCGGTTTGTACCTGGCCGAGTTGACCCGCCGGACCCCAACAAGCGTCTGACTCCTGTCAGTTATTTCTGCGTATTAGATAGGGAGTCTGGAGAAAACATCAAAAGCATACCTATCCGCGTTTGGTTTCCCTTTCAACAAGCAGTTGAGGAATATTTGGGTGTGTGTGAAACTAGAGGGACCCCCCACAATGGTGCTTTGCTTTTGGTTGGCCTTACCAACCTGAAAAAAGGGGCACCCCTCAAGAAACACAAGCCTAGAGACACCAAATGCGCCAAAACGCATCCGTTTCCCTCAGGGAGCCGCAAAGCTACGACTTCTTTGCATTTAGCGCCAAGAAAGTTCTAGCAGCAATTATTCTTTCCAAGCCACGGAAAACCCGGGGGAAAGGTCTTTTGAACAGAATGATGGTGGAACAGAATGGAACAGGTATCAAAATAAGGAGTTCTAACAGAAACAACCTAAGGGTATAATTTGTGTGTGGATTATAAGCTGCTACTAACGAATTATGAACTTAGCTGAACAACCAAGTTCATTGAAGAAGGGGCTCTCTATACCCGGACCGCCAGCGGCTAGAGAAAAAAGAACACCCATCTTGGCCGGTTCATTCAACCCCGTCCAAAAAAAAAGAGTAACTAAGTGCACTACAGTAACATCGTCAAAATGCCCGTCTAAATGGCGGCTTCAAGGGAGACGCCCCAAAGTCGTTTGAGAAACCATGATCACTTTTGGGGACCCAGGGCAACCCTAAGAAACAAGAAATAAGGAATCAACAACTTTAGGCTCCACGTCGTTTCACAGGTCTTTTGATTCGGAAACCCTGGATGTTGGTTGTCTTATTTGCACCAAGTGACCCGAAAGGTAGAACCCACCACACCAACAACGGGGATTTTGGGGTTGCCGCTGAAAATTGGGGGGGGGGGATGGGGGGAGACCCTTTGATGGTTTCAAAAAGGCCAACCGGCACACGAGCCCCCTAAAATCCTGAACAGGAACCCCGGACCCTGGTGTTGCCTGTGTTGGGGCACCAAGCCCTGAATCGCACGCCTGCAAACAGAGAGGGTTGTGGGTCCCGTGGAATGTCGAGACAAGGTGAAACGTCGAGACTCGGTTTGAGACGCATTTGGGTGTGTCCAAGATCCTTTAAAGCAACCCCAAGCAGGGGTAACCCAAAAACAATCACACAATAAAGACACACACACACACATTTTGAGACCCATGGATTTGTCATGGTACAAATTTATCGTTATGTTCAGTCGGGTTGGTCTGGGCATCCGGGCCGAGCGTTGCTAAGGGCTTCGGCGTCTCGTCTCGCGGGGCCTCAAGAAATGCCCAAGTGGTCGTGGCACATGTCATGCCCCCCTCCCCAAACGGGCCGCCGACTGTTGAATGTTTTCATCGCACTACATCCGAACCAAAGAGGCGGAAAGAAAAGAACCCCCTTGACAGCTGTTGCTTCGCAGCCTTGACAACAACAAATCAAACACTTGCCAATGTTCATGCAACCCAAAACAAATGCACAATATGGTCTACCGCAATCGCTTTGAGTGGCCAAGATGTAAAAGGTTACCAACGTTTACCACGTGTTGACTCACAAATACCGCACATCTCTTTGTCTTGGTCAAGCGAAAGCAAAGCCACCACCAAATGACTTCCCCGCAAGGTCTTGCACTTTCCCAGCTGAGGTTGCAACTCAAACCCCGGTG